TCCTGCAACACCTCTCGACGTTAGTGAAATAATCGTGCAATACAAATAGTTATTACGTGTGTGTGTGTGTGTGTGTGTGTGTGTGTGTGTGTTGGGTGGTCACAACTTTTATGCGCCTTCCCTCCCTGCCAGCGAACAGGAAAAGCTACTACGTGCCAGCGATGGATGGAGAAGAGGAAAGAGAAAAAAAACCGGCACAGTATCGTATACGCTTGAAGGTTAAATTGTCCTCTCCCTAGCCTCTCACACATGCGCACCGCTCTCCCCCAATCTTCCCTCAGGCGTGCGCGCGTGCGCACGCAAGCCCATTTGTGAAACATAAAATAAACAAAACATAAAGTATCAGTCAAACAAACTTGTTCAGAACTCTCTCGTCACGCTGCTGTAGGAGGACAAAAACACCCGGGTCACTTCTGCACAGAAGCGGTGTTGAGCTTGCGAATCGCGACCTTGAAGGCAATCGCGTCAGCGAGCTTGCGGCCAGCCTTCGTGATGCGGTGGCCTGAGCTCTCGCACTTCTCAACAAGGCCCAGCTTCGTGAGGCTCTTGCAACCCCAGTGAAGGAGACCCCTGGAGGCACGCGTGGTGATCTCGGGGCGGCTGCCGCGGTTCTTCTTGTTTGAGAAGCGCTTGCTCAGACCGCCGTAGCCAACGCCGGGGCGCATGTACACGGCACGAAGGATGGCGGCACAACGGATGTAGTACCAGTCAGGGTTCTGCGGGGCGCGTTCGCGGCCGTGGGAGGTTTTCACAATCTCAGCGCAGTTCGGCACCATGAGCTTACCCTCCTGCTTGAAGTGCTGACTGCAGAGCTTGACCCAGCGCCACGGGTGGACGTCCTTCATCGTCGCACCCTTCTTCTTGCCGATGCGGCGGATCTTGGAGTTGGCCTTCGTGCGAGCGGCAACCATCTTTCTTCGGTTTGCTTCTTGTCGGTGTTGTGTCGTGCAGACGCGGAGTGTCAGAGGAGAACCTCACTGCGACGGGGAGCGAAGCAAATGGGGGGAGGCAAAGGAGTACATGCGTGAGCAAAAAAAATGTGCGGCAACGGAGGGGCGAGAAGCGAAGGCACGGCAGAGAGGCAGAATAAGCGCAGGGAAGAAAAAGGGATGAATACATCCACCCCGCACGCCTCGTTGGCACGCAGTGAAAGTTGAAGTGTATCACAAACTCCAGCGGGTATAAAAAAAACACGAGGGAATTGTTTATGAACTACGCAGAGGGGAACTGACAAACTCGGAGAAACACGGGAAGACACCCGACAAAAAAAACCGCAACAGCAAACAAGGCAGGAAATAAAAATAAAAATAACAATCCGCTCCAGCACCACGAGCGCAAGCCTTGGGCAAATTTTGAATAGAAGTATCAATAACAATTAAAACAATATGACCAGTCATGTTCCATTCTTCACCTTCTTGGATAACGTATAACCATACATATATGCATGCATATATGAATATACACACCCTTTGAGTCTCTGTTCGTTTGTCTGGTTTATCAGGAGCAGACACCAAGATCTTTTTTTTTTGGCTGGACCCACCGCAGCAATGTCACTCTTGTAAGAAGAAACAAAGGCATACATACACACACACACACACACGTATTATATACATATAAATATTTATTTATATATGCACAGAGAAATGTAGTAGCAAAACGACCACAGTTGGCAGAGATATAGAAATTTATAATTTGGGTGGGGCGGTGGGGCAAGAGTAACAGTGTGTGTGTGGGAGAGCGAGAAGCACGATGGAAGCCATTAGCGAGCATGGACCTCACAATCCAAAGCGCACCCCACTCACTACTCGTCTATTGTCTGCGCAGTGCCGCACCGGAGCCTTCCCGCTCCGGCCCCCTTTCATGCTGCGCTACGCCGATGAACTGCGGGATGAAGGCACGTGCGGCGAGAGGTCCCCCGCCTCTCCCAAGCAGAAAAAAAAAATGTGTTCCTCAACAACTCAACTTCACCAGCACAACACCCCCTCAGCAGAGAAGCAAAATAACAACAAGAACGGCAGAAAGAAAAAATGCAACTAAAA